ATTGATGATTCTTATGATTCTTATGAAGATGATTCTTATTTTCATCAAATTGTAAGTACGTCAAGTGAAGATGATTTAAACATTGAAACTTTAGCTGAAGATGAAGACCAGATCAGTGAACTATTCATCCACATCACCAGCTACATTAAGGTGGTGCTTTTAGAAATTGTTTCTTCTTACCCTTATTTGGCCAAGGTTAATTGCAGTCCAGCTCAACCTCAGAGAACAACTGCAATGAATGTAACCAACCCGAACTCATCAAGTCCAGCTCAACTTCAGAGAACCACTGCAATGAATGTAACCAAACCGAACTCATCAAGTCCAGCTCAACCTCAGAGAACCACTGCAATGAATGTGACCAAACCAAACCCATCAAGTGAGTTTTAAACCAAAGGCATCCAGCTTATACAACCTGAAAAAAAACTCACCACGAGGTTGGTGGCAAACACTATACATAAGTTCGCAAACTCGAAAAGAAATACCACGGTGACAGTGACAAAACCTCAACCGATGAATACAGACACAACAGTGAGCTCAACTACATTGACAAGTGACAGTGCTACTATCCATCCTACCAACACTGCTGTCATACCAAGTGACCGTAGTGTTATAAACCCTACTGATAAAACTGTCACCCATCCTACTGACCGGGTTGCTATCCAAACGACAGACAGTGCTGCCGTTGACCCAACCCACAGTGCAACCACTACAGTAAAGACAATCAAGCAATCCAGTCAAGTGATTATATCTTCCGATGGAGCTCTGACCAAATAGCTACTCTTCATCACAAACTACAGAGGAAGCGCTCATCCTCCAATCTCAACTTGTTGACAAATTACTGAAACAAGAGTGCTTAGAATTGAAGAAATGTGTTATGAACTGTCAAGACTTGTTCACTTCTGTTACTCAATCTCATCATAAAACACCAAAGTTCCTTCAAAACTCTGATGCTCAACATTTCAAAGAGCTAGGACTTCAGTGGTCTCTAGCAACAGTTTTTAAGGTGTTTCCCAGCAAAGATGGTATAGGTTGAAAAGGAGAAGTAGAAAAATGCAAACAGCTGCTATAGCCGGCCTACAACAAACTTTTGTGTTAGGTAATGTGTTTTGTTCTAAACTAACTGTTGAAGTGAGGACACTTCAAGGCCGGGAGTATGTTCAGTTCTTTTAGATAATTTTTCCTACTAGCCTTCACATTTAATATTAAAATCAACAGCTGATCATTGTAAATCCTAAAAATTGTAAAATTCCTAATATTGTAAAAATAAAGATTCCTTTCTGTTCTTCTTATAAACATGGTTTACTATTTTTTTCTCTCTTAATATTTCATTAATACTCACAAACACTCCACATTCATAATACATATTGCATATCAAAATATAAGTTTTAATATTTGAGATTCTTCTTTGACACACCACTAATTAATTCAAAATTCATGTTTTCGGCCCCTGGACTATATTGTTAAGACAATAATAGGGTTTTTACATACCTCAGTCAAATAGTCCAAAAATGGTATTGCTCAACAGCTTACATGTTTCGTTGCGAAGACAACATTATCAAAGCTTGCAACTCGTCAAAAACACATTTAAAACACGAACACGAACACAGAAGACATTAATACGGTACGAATACACAATTGACATTTAGATAGCGCTATCATAATACTGATTTGGTCCGGCGCGGCGCGGGGCTGGTAGCAGAAGGGTCTGCTACCAGCCCCGCGCCGCGCCGGACCAAATCAGTATTATGATAGCGCTATCTAAATGTCAATTGTGTATTCGTACCGTATTAATGTCTTCTGTGTTCGTGTTCGTGTTTTAAATGTGTTTTTGACGAGTTGCAAGCTTTGATAATGTTGTCTTCGCAACGAAACATGTAAGCTGTTGAGCAATACCATTTTTGGACTATTTGACTGAGGTATGTAAAAACCCTATTATTGACTAATTAATTTACTACCATACTCTTTTTATTTTGTATAATTTCAATTTTTGTTTGTTGATTGACTTTTATTCATGTTTATCAAGATACAAAACTCAAGATTTGAGGACCTAGATTTTTATGTATAGAGAACATATTATTCTATCAGGGGATCAAGGAAAAAACACATACTCTTAAAGGAAAGTTGGTAAAACTCACAAAAACAGATATCGTGAGGCTCCCTGTAAAGGTGCAAAATTGTCATTGGACCACCAAAGATCCAGGTTATACAGGAACATGTGTCAACTTGGCTATTTATCAAACATTTCCCACCATGATGTCACCAGTTTAAGGTCATTTCCACTTAAAAGTGTTAGCACAATAGACGGTTTACAAAATCACTGCAGAGATAGAGGGACTGCTATTTCAGCTGATGTTTGAACTGTTGTTTTTACTATGCCTACCCTGTTGTCAAAATGAGAAACACAAGAGGGGAGGGGCTGAAGAGCAACTGGTTATGTGAACAAGGAGAGAAAGGATATTGTGAAGAGCGTACTACTGGTATTGTCTACTGTACAGAATATGGGCACAAAATATGGAGCCCATGTTCTCAAGACTCTTGGTTCTTGGTTTCCAAAGTGTTACTTCAATTAGATCAAACCAAAACAGGAGGATAGATAGCTTGGTAGACATATTGTTAGAAATCTGCTTTCCCTGATAACTGTGACAAGTTATCACGATGTGAGTTGTTGAAGAATGAATCAATGCCTCTCCTTCGGGAGAGAGTAAGCTCATTTTCTATAAATATTTGTATGTTCTGATCATCCTTATAAGAAGTGCAAAGATAAACTTAGCTGATAATTTCTCGCTCTTTTCAAATGGGAGGTGCCAGATAGATGCTCCTTTGACTAATCCTTCATCATAATATACATAAGTGAATAAAGCTTCACATTTGACTGTCAACCCTTTGAATAAAAATGGCCTTTAAACATTTTAAATTTAAATGAAGGTACCATTTAAGACATAATCATAAATTGAACATCTCTTAAGCCAATTTAGTAACCCTTAGCCAATATGTTCATGATGGAATATGTTTTGTAGGTAATGTTGTCGTGAGGAAACATTTGACTGTAAAGCTTCAATTCATTGTGACAAGTAATCATTTCACTGACATTTTAGCATATCTTAAGAACAATAAAACAATGCAAACTATGTTACTAAATAGTTCAGCCTGTTGGATGATTTTATCCTATGTGATTTTACATATTTTTACGTAAATATAGTACCTATATAATATTCAACTAACGTGAGGTCGACAATATTGCACTCAACTAAGTTGCTTCTTTCTAAGTAAATACATATACTTATTTAATTTGCCGATAATAATGATTGTGCAAGTATTTCAGTTGTAAATATTGATGATACATATGGTCAATAATGAAACCAATTAACAAAATAGCGTCAATCATAAACCTTCTTGTAATTAGTATAAAAATGTTACTTGTTATGCTAGTTTAAAATGTTTTCTTGAATTAGGTTTAGTAACTTTTGCAATTTAAACATGTCGTTATACTGTAGTTAAAAAATGAATCTATAATAAAAGAGAGCAGTTTCTAGATTGTCTGTGTTACACAGAGAGACGCCAATTTATATTACAATCAAACACAGTTTATTACTGTATATAAATATTCAAATTTGATAAAACTAAATGTGTCTCATACGTATTTAAAAATAAATTTCTGTATATTATATACCATACCATAAGTTGTATATTATACCAACTTAATTACAAATTTGTTTGCAACTAACACAACCTCTTAAAACATTAAATGTTGTGAAAACTTGTCCGCAATAATCCCTCAAATACCTACTAAGAATAAGAATGAGGATAAGAATATTTTATTTTCTCCATCAATTTTACAATATTTACAATAGTCATTGACTATAAACACAAGTAGAAAATTTTGTATTCACAACCACTCTAAAGAGATTCAACGTAGTTACTGTATAAAAAATATTAATTGCTAACCATTTTCAAATATTATATATTTTTGAAATGCTGTAAAAGAGTTACCTAAATATAACAAACCATAATAGGTCTTTACTCTTTTAACACTTTTACCATGGATGAATTCAATAATTATATTTGTTATTCGAACTAACAATAACTATTAGTTCATCTATGCTTTTACTGAGTACACCATATGTATGTGCCAATAGGTTTACATAGTACAATAATTTGTAATATAGCCTATATAGTAGGACTAGTATTTGATAACCTTTCAGTGACATGTGGTCATGGGGACTAATTATCAACCCCTAAATCGATATAGAGGAAGACCATGTACAAATAATCATTCTTCAACAAAATAATCATTCTTCTCAAATATAGCAGTGTCTCTAGGTCTTACTATGAATTCAGTAGGTTTCTTGAGGTTGATTTGGCACAGCTAATTAATATCACTTTTCACCTAAAGCTTGAACTCGTCTGAAAATTAACCAAAGTGGTTTTATTTTATGCTAACAATACTAAATATAAAATTTACAGTTTGAGCATACAAATTGATTCATGTCGAAAGCAAAGTATTTACACATACAGTTCATACCCCTTCCCCCATATGCCCCCCTCCTTGTCCCTTCTGTTTGTTCATACAGTGTTCATATTAGATACACTCTTATTGACCAAAATTCATGAAAAGAGTATACTTATAGGGTGAATACAAATTTTAAAAGCTTAAAAAATTATATTAAATTTTATCTACTTACTTTATTGTGAGTTATAAATTGGAAATGTGCCAACCAATTAATTTACTGGTAAATTAATCTACAGTAGAGTTTTATTTTTCAATGAGGTGTCTCACTCAAAGTCTAATTTTGTATTTAACCGTGAGTTCTGAATTGTTTATAGATTTTGATACTAAGTATAACATGAAAATAGCTTAAGTAAAAGCGATCTAATCATTACAAGGCTTTTATAAGTTAGGCGTGGTCGGGTTGGAGGGGTTGGAGTCAGCATTAGCAGTAGACGTGTCTCGGGTGTGGTGTGAGTAGCATGGTGTGCAGGTTTGTGTATGTGTGTTGCAGCGTTTACCCGCAGTCCTGTCCCGGATAGGCCTAATATTGGCCACTCCACTGGTAAGACTTCAAACTCTCGCTTGATATTTGACTTTGCCTCTTATTTCTCTTTTGTTCCGATCGCTTTCTTGGCTGTCATGCATTTTGATACTCTGGAAGCTTTCTTTGTTGCCTGCAGGTTTGATTGCTCGATAGAGACTGGTTCGAGGCTTGGTAGATTCCACAATTCTTACTGAGTAATTGTCAACAACGCTTTTTGAATAGAGGGACTGTGCTGATTCAGTAATTTTGAGTCTGTCAAAAAGGGCCAAAACCAATACTCATCATTACATACTGTCAAAAATCTCTTTTCTTTGAAATTTAAAAATATATAGAATCATATTTGGTAAACAATATTTTTAAATGTGTACCATAAAAGTTGTACTTAAAGGTTTGGTAACCAATCATATATATTGTTTTCTTTCATTACTTTCGTGATTGTTTAACCCATACAGAACATAATAAGCTATATTATACATTTTATGGTCATAACTAATTCAACTAACCTATAAACTAAAATGATACAACATGAAACATCCATTAGTTGATTTCAATTTATAAGGGTTCTTTATATTTCAAGGAATGAGTTTATTTAGTGCATCACCAATAAAAATTACGTACAATTTATGTAACTATACCAAGATTTGTCTTTCTCCTCAGCATTCTTTTTTTACTAATAAACCATATAAATTACTTAATTTAATCATTTTCACACAATCATTATTTAACCACAGAAAAACATTGTGTAAGTTAATAGTAAAAACTATGGTTTTGATGACTTTGTAATCATGTCAGTACCTATGTGAGTTGAGTTTAATTATTGTAATGGTACCTAACCAATAAAAAATACACGATCACTGTCTTTCTTACTAGAATTCACTTTTGGCTTTGCGCAATACAATACATGCAGGCTTAGGGTTTGTGCAGTTGGGAGAAGTATCTTCTACAACGAAGGAACAAAACTTATCACTTACTGGCTGGGGAAAGAAAATAAATATTAACATTTTCACTTGTATTGTACCACCACACATTGCTTTGCTTAATTCAATTCATATAATGAATCAATTTTTGTATTCAAATCTTAATTCACACATATTCTATTCTATGACACATTTTAGATGGTTGAAAAAACTGATGAAGCTATTACTAAAATTAAAATACTTACAATAATGTCTATTGAAATCTCACTTCACCACCTACTGATTTTTGTTCAGGTTATCATTTTTGTTTAGGAAACTGTGAACGTAAATAAATATTCAGGAGGAAAAATAATCCTAGTAACCATTGATTTTTTATTATATTTAAAGTGTTCCTAACAGTGGATATTTGGACTTCAAGAAACTTTCCCCTAAGGAAAATAGTTATGATTGAGAAGGAGAAGCACAGATAAGATTTGATTACACTCCTCAATAGTGCTTATTTGAATGTGCTCTTGGTAGGGGAATGGGCAGTTGAGAAGAGAGGGCGAGTGCCAATAATCTTTCTGTTGCCCTAATTAGACATAACTCCCACAAAAATAAATACTAATCCATATAAGGCAGCAGAGTAAGCCAAAGCCAAGAGGCTTTGAAAATATGTTTCTTCGGGAGTTTACATAAGCCTCAGTATAAAATGTTACTTAGATGAGCAGTTTTTTATTTATATCAAAGTATTAGACTTCGAGTCATAACCTTTAAAATATATCTTGAAATATAACTAAATTCAGTAGAATGTACTTATAAGGGAAGATATATTGCAATTGAGTAACCTAATAATTTATTGCTGAAATATATATTGACATTTTCAAAATGACCTTGCAGCAGATTTTAACAATGACACACAGATGAAACATTGGTGGTCTAGTGAATGAAGTAATTTTATAAGGATATTTTTCTGAAATCAATGTAAGCCATGAAAAACACATGTACAAACTTTTTTAGTTAGATATTGTCATAATATAGATAATTTACTGCATAAACAATTTTTTTGAAAAGGATATATCTTGCTAGAGTTACAATAATGAGATAAAAACTATTAATTTTCAATTTTGCTTTTGAGAATAATATGCCCCTTTTAGACACGATTAGTAATGTAAAAAAGGTAAGTATGAGTAGTTACAATATATTATACACTACGAGGAAGACAATGTAGTGGGTTTTCTTTGCTACTGTATGGTAATCCAAGATGTCACATGTAGAAGAAGATGTAATTACCGATGACCATCTGAGTATAGATAATATAGTGACCACTGAGTATGACCACTATCTGTGATAATATACACCTATTGGATGTCAGCAGATTAGGATATTATAACAATCCACGGTTCTTAAGGTGGTTCCTCTATTTTTAGCAAATTTCCCATATAGGGAATAGCATATTACCGAAGGTCTCATAGTAAGACCTGGAGCCAGGACTGATTTACTTATTGGTTTCGATGTTCATAAAGGCCTAAAACACTATCCGTTAAAATTCATATATAATGTATATAATTGTCATTTTGCGCGATAACTTGTCCGATATTGATGAAATTTGTTTCAAACAAGTAACATATATTACTGCAATTCTAACGAGTTTGCGAACCAGCATGATCAGACTATGGGATTAGTGTTTCATGGGGTGAAAATAATTTTTCTTATTTTTGACCTCGAAACATAACATTTTGCAATTTCTTTCTAAACCATTTTGTAGATTCTGAAAGACAGCATTCATTACAGCTTACTCAAAGAAACTATTTTAATATTTAAAAAAATATAGTTTTGACAAGGTTAATCAATGAGTTTATAGGTTTTCAAATGGTTTCCAGAAACCATCTGCTATGAATAAAAATGGCAATAAAAATGGCAATGAATAATTTTTTTTATAATGATCTATAGTTTATCACGTACTAATATTTTTAAATCTCCTTGCTATTATTTTTATCCACTAGTTTTATACGTAATTTTTACTTTATGTAATCAAAATGTAGACACATAAAACAGTTTGTTATTTGGTCCATTTATAGGGGCTTGCTGGTCGGCTAATAAATTGTATTTAAGATGAGGAATAAATATTAAACTAATAATAGATTAAGAATAAATTCTTTCTACATTATTTTTTATCATTATCTATAAAATGTTTGATTAAATTTGGTAATTAGAATTTGTGATCGTAAATTCTTGGCAGTGCTATTTACCATATTATATTTTGTATTAATTTTAAATCAGAACCTTTATGATTTAACAGTAAAAAGAAACCATTATTTTCATCTTTCAATAATTATTTTGTTTGATGAATTATTTTGTTTACTTCCATTGTCTAATCATTGAACATTTTATGTTTCATGCTTGTTTTAAATGAAAATAATATAACACCATCTAAAAAATACCCATACTTAATAAAACTAAACTATTATTTAATTGTGCAATTTCACCCATTCAGTGGATGAAGGCAAATGTAAAATGTCTTTGAAATATTACTCGTTTTATAACACAATAATCAAGTCAGCAAATTTTATTATAAAAAAAATTGATAATACTTCTATATTTGGCCTGTAAACATGTAAGATACCAATATGCTTATGTATCATTTTGTTAACACTCTTAACTAAGTATATTTTGTAACTGAATTATAAATTGTTCACTTGAAAATGTTTAGCAGGTAAATGTAGGATCAGAGTTTTAGTAATAGATTGTATTTCTCTTTTAGTTGGATATCCATTAGGTTACACCTTTCAGAATGTTTGCTCCTGTATAAAATTGTCACCGTTAATTGTTTCACGATTACGTTTTGATACTCATTTACTTATATGTGTTTATAGTTGTGTTTTATGTTCTTAATTTTTCATTACATCAAAACAGATAAAAATATTCTCTGAACCTCGTGGACCAACCATCGGTTATCAGTTGTTTTAAATGTTAATCTTTTAAATTTTATGTTTGTCATAAATGTTTTAAATGTTTTAATGTTCTATGTTCAAACAACGCATATTCAAATAAATAATATAAATCTTTGTAACAAAATCTACTTAGTTGTAAATTGGAGTTGTGTATTATTTTCTTATTTTTCATTACATCAAAACAGATGAAAATATTCTCTGCACCTCGTGGACCAACCATCGGTTATCAGTTGTTTTAAATGTTAATCTTTTTAATGTTATATTTGTCATAAATGTGTTAATGTTCTATGTTCAATCAACGCATATTCAAATATTTATAAATCTTTATAACAGAATCTACTTTTATTTTAAATTGGACTGTTTTTATATAACTGTTATTTTTGTTTTGCATGTATGGTGTTAATTATCCGTAATAATCACACAGTATTTTAAATTTATAAACTTTTATTACAGGGGTATTAACATGAAAAGGAGTTTTTTGTACAGTTGAAATATATTAGTACATGTATTAAATGGTAAAGTGATATTTTTATATAAAATATGCTCCATGGACAATGTTGCTCTATTGGACCACGTGGCCGCGTTCGAAGTGGCAACACTATCAGTAGGGTTGTTTCGTTTGTACAGGCAGCTAATGAGGATTTGTGTACTTTTTACGAAAGCTTGGTTACTGCTATGTAAAAATATTAACTCCATTTTAAATGTACAGAAATAGATTTTAAATTTAATGTTTTATTTTAGAACACTATATGTATTATTTTCAATCTTTCAATAAATGTAAATTCATAAATTTAAATTTAAATGAATAATACACAATTAAATAAGCTGGTGTCACCTGTCTGTTATGTTATCTTATGGGACGTCTAGCGCTAAACAGTACTACTTGCGACGTTGCCAATTCAACACATGCCGCGGCCTGGATTTAAAGGTGGCCGTGGTTACCTCAAATATTTTATTAACTCTTTTGCATTATGTGTACCACACCTCAATTAGGTCAATTGCAGTTTTGAATTGAGAATTAAAAATAGTTTCAGGAACTGTTTTAAAGTGGAGAAACAATTTTACTACTGAATCATTTTTACTTATAACATTTTTTATGTTGAACAAGATTTTTATTTTTATATGAGAATTTATAATTGAACGAAGCCACATTATTCCTTTATTGTCA